GGGCGCCGCCGCCTCACCACATAACCGCAGATTTTGTTTTGTAAATGAACAAAAACATGAATGTCACAAAATAATTTCTGCAATGTCCAATGCGTAAAGATTATCTAAACATATAACAGTAGGATTTCGATCAGAACGACAAATAGTGGTTACGAAAAGAGCACTTTCCCCGTGAAGGAATTTAAAAGCATTTTACACTCGATTACGAGGTTTGCCCACCTATCTGTCCATTCCTAGCGCCTGGCAAGCGATTATCAGTTGGCAGCCCATATGGGCGGCCATCGGCGTGAATGTGTTAACATCCCTAATATCGAGGGAAGGCTCACACTTCTAGACTGATGAGGTAAGTTCGCAGCAAATAATGGGACGTACCAAATCGCTTGAATCCACATCCAAGGCATGCGTTCGTGTAGAAACGCGAGTTCGTTGAGTCCTTCGAACCGACTCCACATAGGGATGTTGATGGTTCTCTTGTGCGGAAATATGGCAGCCCATAGCGGTCTCTAAAACCCAGTTCGAGATAGCGAATTTGTGGAATCTTTAGGCGGTTCTTCCGTACTTATATGTGTTCTCTCGCAAAAAATTCAATGACAAGCGAGAGCATTAAGTAGACCAACTCATTGTTCCCTACTAGAGTGTTAAATTTCGGTTTCAAGAAAATCCAACACCGACGTCAATTCTGATTTTTTCTGAGTTAGTTGGGACTTAAGCCGTTTAGACAGAGCGAGCACCCGAAGTAAAGCGTGAATTATAATGTTCTGCTGTAGTCACGTACAATGCGCGACGCATTGACGCGCTGAAGTGCGTGCTCGCCTCCGTTCGTTTCTCTCTCTCAACGAGAGAGAATATGTCGAGCCAACCCGCCAACTATACTGAGCGCCGTTCATGTAGGAGGTGGAGGATGGCACGCACGCCAGAGTGGCCTCGCGTCTAGCGCGGCACCCGGGGATAACCTCCCCTAGCCTGCGACGCTCATCCATTCTTGGATTGCTGCCCAGCGGGGGTAGCCTCATTGTGAGCATAACCTATAGGATTGTCATTGCGGAAATCGCGTCGATGCGACGCGCATTGTACGTGACTACGGCAGGAACATCGTAATTTACGCTTACTTCGGGTGCTCACTTGTCTAAACGGCTTTCGTTAGTTAGAGCTTGTTATACTGAACGGCCATCTAGCGACAAATCGTGATCTTGAAGGCCAAGGCAGTTTGCAACATATTCAAATAAACCCCAAAAACTCAAAATTTTATTTTTCGTCGAAACTTCGCCTATAGGGGTAATTCGGTGCCCTGATCACGAAAATGAGGTTCATTTTTGGCGCTGGCGCCATTTGGCGCCAATTGGCGCCAATTTGGCGCCAAGGGTGTTTTCACCAAATTCGCTGTAAACTTGCACATAGGGGTTATTTAGGGTCCTGATTACGGATATGTCATTCGTTTTTAGCATTTCCACCGTTCAACGCACATTTTCCATTCTCCTGGGTCCTCTCACTTGTACATAATACCTAGGACTGAGCCTAGAAGGAGGGAGGACTCCGGGGTGGGTGAACCAGTCAACATGTGGCAAACGTTAAAGCGTATAAGATCACAGGATAAGTGTTATTCACTTCGGAGCACTCTCCTCCTCAAAGGCTTAGTCCCGATCGCGAGGTGATCAGTGAGAGGACGCAGACGAGCGAAAACAGGCGCGCACAGGCGTTAAAAGGAAAAAACTGTTATATTCGTGATCAGGACCCTCAAATAACCCCTATGTGCAAGTTTACAGCGAATTTGGTGAAAACACCCTTGGCGCCAAATTGGCGCCAATTGGCGCCAAATGGCGCCAGCGCCAAAAATGAACCTCATTTTCGTGATCAGGGCACCGAATTACCCCTATAGGCGAAGTTTCGACGAAAAATAAAATTTTGAGTTTTTGGGGTCGTAATAGTTGAATAGTGCCGAATTTTCAAATCCTTATATTTGCTGGACTGAACACCAAGTATGTTGTTGTGCCAGGGCCGCATTGACCCCTTCATTCTCTCCGCCCGGAATGCACCCACCGCACGGCGCCAAGTATGAAAGCAGCCTTAGTTCGGAAATGGCTGTTGACTATTTAGAAACTGCAAAACACACCGCAGATGATATCGAGAGCGCACCGCTTGACGAAAGGGAAGATATCGAACTCTTTCTCGCTAGAAACCATCTTTTCTAATTGACCAACGAAAATCTGGAAAATGTGGTTTGCAATGTGAGGTGTTCGCTCAGTAATTAATCACTTTACAAACCTTCGCTTGCCTATCATGAATGACTTGGAAATCATTTAGAACCTTGAAGTGGAATGCAGGAGTGAGAAGCTTTCGCCGCGTGCGCCATTTTTCTCCTGAAAGATTAGAATTTGTAAAGAGAAGATCTATTTGAGCTTAAAATTTTATTTTCACAGAGAGCATGAGATAAAGGCAAGAGTCTGGATCAATTTGATGTGGTGACGCCGCGAATGCGAGCCAGGGACGCGAAGTGAACCAGTGGACAAAAAAGTGATATCGTTAAAAATATAAATGATACGGACCTAATTGTTCAAAGCTGAGGGGAAGTCTGAGAGAGATGAGAGTCGCGGAAAGGGAAAAAAACTCCGCCTCAAGAAAAAACAGCTGATCAAAAAATACGGCTCAGAGAAAATATCGACCGGTGGTGTACTGCTCGGATGGGCTTCGGCGAACTAGAATAGTGGATGCCTAGCGCCTCAGTAAGGCGTTTCAATGTGCTAACTTGTTTCCACCTCTAGAGTCACGGAGCTAGCGCCTCCACCCACGGGAGGACCTCTTCAATGAGTTTCAGCACGACCTCTGCATTTGCATGAGCATTTGAATGCTAAATGGTCTACACTATGACTTGCGTAGGCCATTCATGTGAAAGTCGAAGTTTTTATGCTCTCAGATGAGTCTGGAGCAGGGTGAAAATCGTGTCGAGTACGTGGTCGCAGAAGTACGACCCCCCCCCGAAATCGAGATCCTGGCACGACCCCCTAAAACAGAGCAAATTAATTCAATTAATTAATCAAAATCAAAAAAATCCTGCAAAATAAATAAAAAAAAATCCTGCAAAATTAA